GTTCATAGTTCCATGAGTCCAACCACAAGCTCAGACAGACACGCTCAGAGAGAATCAGGCGGGTTCAGTAGTTGAGGGACAGAGACTAGACATGGTCCTGGAATTACTACAGAACTTGAAACTGTTCTCCACTTTGGAGCCAGGCTTACAGAACTTAAAACTGACCTCCCCCGCATTCCAAGCCAAAAAACCCTGAGGGCTCCATGGAGAAGGACCAGAACCCACTCTCCCCCCACACGCTGAGCTAAAACCCTTAGTGCTTAGCAGAGAAGAGCCGGGACATATCAGAAGATCAGAAGACAGGAGACAACAGTAAACTCTAAATCCACTGGCCTCCAGGGAGTGGAACATGAACCAGGGACTTTGCTAAAAAAAAAAAAAAAAAAAAAATGAATAACTGGCACAAAAACAAAACACTGATAAACCAAGAATACATGAATAATGATCTGCCACGATAGCTACGCTGAACTGTATATATAGCAGATGGAGCAGGTGAATAGGATCAAAGATAATTAGAGAGCGGGAAGGGAACGGCAGGTGAATGAAGTGAGTAATCAGATAAGCTACCAGGGCTGCGATCATGGCATTTCCAAGTAGAGCAGGGAATATTAGCCCGAACCCGACGGGACCCGAGAGGTCCTGCCGGGTTCGGGCGGGTTCAGGCTGTACTTTTTATTATTTCATTCGGGCCGGGCCGGGCTCGGGCTTTAAACCGTTATATGCGCGTCGTGTTAAGATAAAATACCGCTGTTTTTTTGTTGATGCTTGTTATTTTTTCTTTTAACTTCCTTGGTCAGAGAATATATTTAAGCCTAGAATTAAGTTCTTGTTCAGACATCTAGGCTAACTATTCTGAATAAAAATAGTAAAAATATACAGCAAAAATTATTCATTCTTGACTGATTGTGATATGCGCACAATTGAAAAATGTCGGGCTGCAAACGGGTCGGGCTCTACGAAGCTGTCAATCATAACGGGCCGGGCTGGGCACGGGCCTGGTTCTTTCGGACTCGGGTCGGTTTCGGGCTGACTTTCAAGACCCGTTTCATGCTCTATTTCCAAGTGCTCAAAACCCATTTGTCATTTCCAGTGAAACCGATTCCCATGCACACATCATTTCCTTTCTTTTATAGAGTTCATACATATTGGCTTCTACAATACTCTTTCTGTTCAGTCACTAATTCTCATGCTTGCTGGTTCTCATCATTTCTCTGTCATTCATGTATGTTTTCCTGGATTTAATTATTTCATTTGTAGACTTTTGCTTCTCTTGCCTGTTTTGGCATTAAACTTGCAAAAAAAAACAAAAAAACACCGCAGCTTCCATCTCTGCATTTGGGTCCTTCAAACCTCCACTCAACCTGACAATCTGAAAACTGATCTAAAAATTCAGAGTAAGAAGCTGGTGGACGATATAAATTTAGAAAAAAGAAAGTTTTGTTGCTTTCCAATTTGGATGAGGGAAACTAAGGGTTAAATGGTCAAAAGAATTGTAGTGTAATTACCTGTCTTAGGAGTAATCAGTAATTTAGACTGAAAGATTGTTGTTACTTCTCCTCGCCCAGAATTTCTGGACATGTGAAAAAGTAAATAAATAGAGGGGGTTGCCTCATTTATGCTCACATACTGTTGTTTCTGTAGGACTACATAACTTTGATTATCACAAATCAAGTCATTTACAGCCATTAAGTAACACACCTTTTAAAGGAAGAGATCATTTATTAAATAAACCACACTGAATTGTTTTAACTTTTTCCCCAATTGAAGGTATTGTATTCTTAAATTCTTTTAGGATTCCTTTCTAATTGATTTGATTTTGGTCGTGGACAAGACAATTTTTGGATTGTGTAATGAGGGAGTAAGAATAGAGAAACAGCCCCTTTGAACAAGCTCGCTTGCTCACTGGTTTAATACATGGCTACATAATTTAAAGCAAAATGCTAAGAAACCAAAGAGAAAATGGTGCTCTACATGCCTACAGGAATCCCAACTGTTTGGAAAAACAGTTTACCTCTGTATGAAATTTCCCTTCGAAAAGCAAGAGCAGTATATTTCTCCTCATCAATTGAGGAGAATAAGAGTAGTTACTGTATCTTTTTAATACAGTTGCCAAACTCACCCAGAGCCAAGGCTCTGTTGAACCTTCAACCCCACTGTTTTTAAGGAGTGATGATTTGATGAGATTCTTTATAAATAAGATAGATTCCATTAAAAATAAGAACATTGGCTCCCCTCTGCATATGACTGGCTTATCTCCGAAATATGAGGCCGCATTTGAAGTAGCTATACAATCTGAAATGGGTTTACTCTGCTTTGATGTATTGGAACTTTTTGCTTGGATAGAAAGCTTTAAACCAATCTGATTGCATGATCTGATTTAATTGTCTCTGTAAAGTACCTTGAAATGACATGTGTTGTGAATTGGCACTATATAAATTCTGTTCCACTCTTTGAGGACACGGTCACACTTTCCTGCTGCTCCTGCAACTTACTGCTCTGTCCATTCTTTGCTCTGTCTTGACTTTTTCTGAGCCCTCTCTTCATATCACCCAAATCTCGTCAGCTGGTCTCTGAATGCTATTGATCAAATTTTCTCATCTGGAAGACAGGGAAAAGGGGACCAGCCCTGTCCTGCTGGGACATACTTCATGGGACACACCCTGGACTCCTGGAAGGATTGCAGAATATGGTGAGTTTTACAATATTGTCAGTGGAGGACGTGTAAGACGTTTACATGTTTGCATTAATGATTCTATTATTTCTTTTATTTGGATTTGTAGGAGACCTGATGTATCTACAATTACAGAGGATGTTGGCAGGGATTTGGGCAATAACCAGGCTGCTGGCAGTGGTTGACGTGCTCATAAAGGCTGTGAATGAGCAGGACAGTGAGATGAGCTGTATGCTAGGTGCGATTGAACCCAAGATGGCTGTGGTGGTTTAACTCAAAGGTGAGATGGGATAATGGCTGTGTTTGAATTTATGGGCCACGTCTTCCAAGGACCAGCTCTGCTTGGACTGGATCCTTCGAAGTCCTTGAAAATAAGGAGAACGGAAGAGTTTTGGCTGTGAATTCAAACAGGTCTACCCTTAACAGAAAAGACTGAATACTGAACGTTTCAAAACTGTTTGTTTTTAGATTTTTTTCTCCCTTTTTTATTGTAACGTGAACAAAGACTACACTCATAAGAATATGGAGTGGAATAAAGGTGAAAACCACTGGGAGCATGAACAAATAAAAGCAAATGATGATTAATGATATAAACCTTTGTCAGTTAAATAACCTGCTTCTGTCATTTTGCACATCTCTGATGTTGCTGCTATTTTCAAATATCCATTACTGTAAAAATGTCCATGGCGGTATAATTGTTATTTATTCTCCAGGTGCCCAGTTTTATATTGTTAACACCTAAAGCCTATTCTGTTCTAATTTAAATTCTAGTCTTGAATTTATAAGCTGAAAATCATCTCTTCACTAGCAGAAATTAAGCCTTGAAAGCTACAGTGTGCATGTAACAGCCCTAATTATTGAGTTGAATAATTGAAAGAAATTAACTTTTTAAAATTACTTAAATTTATTAACATGAACTTGTATATTACATTTTTTCATACCTTGATATTTAGATAAAGCAGATTAATACTTTTAAAAATAGCTTAATGTAAAAGTTCTCTTTAGGAAAACCATATTTTAGTCTCAAAGAGTGTAAGTAGGATGGTGTAAAAAGTAAGTAAACTATTTTTTTTTACAAAAGGGGTTTTATGTTCAGCAAGGTATGTAATCATAGGCTGCTGTCAGGGATAAACCATTTGCATCCTTGGCAGCAGCTTATCGACATATCTGTTATCATATTGGACAGCCAGAATGTTATTCCATGGTACTGAGTGTATAAAACTTGTGCTTTTGCCTCAGGTTAACATTATCAAGGGATGTTGGCTCATTGACAAGCCAGCTGTATAAATGGTTCAGTCAGATCATTGTTTCTAACCAGGAACTGTCCGTTTTACATATGAAAATCATGAAATTTTGCAAGTGTTTTTAGGTGAGGGGAACTGTTGGGGCAACATAGATAACAGATCAAGTCCACGGTGGCTGAGCTCCTTCATAATACAAATCACTGTTCTCTGAAGCCGGCAAGTAGATTATTCTTTAATTGTAGTAGCCTCAATGACTTGTTCTGCCCCCTTCACCAACAGTTGAAAGACCATAGTGTTGTACTTGAGTGCATTTGAGGAAGCATATATCGCACAATATTTTAAGAGGACTCTTATTGCCACTTAGTCAACAAGCACTGAGGGAAGTGAGCAACCTTAAGCCTTAAGGTCAGCTGATATATACATAAATGAGCATAAGGCCTTTTCTTGTAGAGGACAGAGTGCTAAATGTGTTTTTTGCTATCTTAAAATCCACAACCAGTTCACTAGATTTGGTGGTGTTAATTTATAGATTGTGTTTCCACAACTCAATAAGTTGCTGTGCCTCTCCCTTATAAGCTATTTCATTATTATCTGATTCTCATATTATAGTAGTGTCACTGGACAATTTGTGAATGCTGTCAGTAGGCTGGGGTAGCAGTCATGAGTAAAAAAGTAGCAGAGGAGAGTGGAGGGATCAGACCCCTGTACAGTACCAGTGTTTAGATAATCTGGGTCCTGTTTTTAAGGAGGTCCGAGATTCACCTGCACAGTGTACTACCTTAGGTTCCCACTAAATGTAATTGATTGTGGTGTATCATCACCCCAAAATAAAAGTTGCCACACCTTCAGTACAAGGAAGCTTTTTTTCTTATTTCAATTTTTATTTAAACAATATAATATATGCAGCCACTATCTGCTGTACTGCATCAACCACATTAAGAGTTTGAAATTAATTTAAATATCATAAAAATATTTAAATATCATGCCTCTGGCAATGAGAATGGCAACTGTTCAGAGATGAAATATGCAAACCAATTTCTGTCAACTTGAGCAAGGTTAGCAGACCAGTCTTTCAAAGCTTTTGGTACTGATGGAGGACTGAGCAGCTGGGTGTCATTGAGGTCGTTCACTGGACCCTTTTTGGTACTAGAAGAATATTAGCAAACTTAAGGTAGGTAGGAAGAATAGATTCTGACAGTAAGAGATTAGAAATGGTGGTAAATACTTCAGCTGACTGTCTGTCAAAGCCTTCAGGATCATCCTGGTGACACCACCTTTACCATCGGTTTTTCCTAATGTTCATATTGCATGGAGCAGTTCTGACCTGATATTGGTGCAGCTAAGTGTTGTCATTATTGTCTGAAACTGTAGGCTGAGTACCATAATCTGTATTCTGATGTTCAAAACTGGAGAAGAACAGATTCCGAAGGATTATATGTGAATGAAATACTATTCCTAGTTTATTAATCTATTTTAAGCATGTTTGAGAGTCAGGTGCAAACTGAATGCAAATTACTGCTATCATTCTTTTTATAAAAGAGAAATAGTTACAAACATAGATGTAATTGAGGCATTTCAGCCAGATGATTTAAACAGATTTTGTGTGCATGTGAACATGTGTGTATTAGTGACACTCAATGTGTATTAGTGGCGAAAAAGACATCTGAACAGGCAAGCAGAAATAAATGCAATGCAATTATACATGCAATTAACAAAAAGGCAGTTTCTATATCTTATCATTTGAGACTTGTACATCTTATCTATTGTGCAAGCAATATCTGAATGTCAGCCCTAACATGACCAAAAACTTGATACATAATTTTATTTTTTTTGCTACTCGGAAAATCTTTAAAGATCAGGCCAAATAAATATTTTTTTCTGTAAGAAGACGTGTATGGCTACAAAAGCATTCTTTCATGCCGCACTTAAGGCCTCTTGTTATCAAGCCCTTGGCAAGCTTAGTGCTATTGTCACACAATTCTTTCAATCAATCAATCAATCAATTAATCAATCAATTAATCAGCCTAATTTATTTTTCATACAAGTTATTTTGCTCTACCCAAATATACATTTCTTTGCCCATGGAAAGTTAAATCTAAACCTGAAAGAATTATTATTAACAAATTAAACTTTAACATTAAAATAATGACACAGTTCCTTGCTTATTTATTTTTTGAAGAAATGTCCAATTATTTTCAAACAAAATGTGTTCATTTGTTTAATTTGTTTCATTAAACTTTATTTTTTGTGATATCAGATCCTTAGATCAATCACTTTATTTACTTTGCAAAGTAAAGTAGAACATGACATTAACATTCACAGCATGATGGTCTGCCCCATTCTGCCTTAGACAAAGTTTTTCCCTTGCTTTAAAGGCAGAGTTAAAAAAAATACAGAAACATTAAAATGTTATGAATACCTTGATAAAATATCTGGTTTTGTTATGGGAAAAGGTATGTCTTGTCTATAACCACCCCTCACTCAGACATTTTTAACCCTTCCCATCCTTGCTGAACCTCCTGTAACTTGGTCAACGGTAAAAGGGCCGTTTCTCAGTCTTTTATTGGCAGGTAATTTAACTCCTCTAACCCCTCTACCTAATGCCTGTGGGGGGTCTTTTTGGGTTCTCAGGTGAAAACTCCTAATTGCCTAATCCTACATCATAAATAAGAGTAACTAAATTCTCTGACCACAAAAGTGTTTTGTTTTTATTTCTTTCACAGATAAAATGGAATTTGGCGAAGGATTTTCTCCAGATTTTTCATCTAATCATGACATCCCAGACTTCTCAATGCCTGATTGTGTTTTTGACCAGAATGAGGATAACAATACGCCTGAACATAATGGTGAGCCTGCACTCCAGCTTGAGCTGGCTCAGCCGTATCCTTAGCCTGTTGCTGATAAGCATAACCAACCTTCTCATCAGCCATGTCCTTAACAACATCCCTACCTTATCATGTAGGGCCTTTTCCTCAAGTTTTTTTCCCTTTATATAATATGTGATAAAATATTTGAGCCAATTTATGCTTAATTTCCTTAATTCAAAAGTTAAATGCTTTCTGTATGTCTTGTCCAAAAAGGAATGGGAAATGGCATAAGGATACAAGCCCAGATTCGGACAGGTGAGTTACTTTTTCAATTTACTTACTGAAGATAATTTAGAATTTTAAAAAAGATAGTAGAGCTCCAGCATTGGTGGTGTGTCATTAACAAAGAGTGACCGACAGGAAACTCAAACCCAGCGGCTCAAATGAGAACCAGTGCAGCTTCTCCACAAATGCTATGTCCGCGTTGCCAGGCCTACGTCATGACCTTGACTGAACACAAAATAGGCTGCTTCACCTGGACAGTCGCTGGAATACTTTTCATCATAGGGTGAGAAAAAACTCAATTCTCTGCCTGCAAGTTCTTATAAAATGTTGAAATTTAAGAGTAAAACTTCACATGAACTTGGTAACAATTTAAGTAGGATATATTTGTTCTACAGAGGTAAAGTGGAGGGAGAGTAGATATGGAATTTGATTTTTGTCCATCTGATTCCTATTAGAGAGGCCGAGATAGGTTGGAGGAGGATGGAGAGTGAAAAGGCAAATGGATGAGATTTTAATAATCATGGATATGATAACAAGATGAAAGTGTGATTTGGAGTCAACTTCTCCCACAAGCAGTTAACTGTGCAGTGGAATAATTCACAACTTCCATACAAGATATATGAAATGAATAATTCTACTTCAGATAAAAACTATTTTAGTTAAAAACTCCTAACTTAACCTGTTAAACTCGATTGAACTAAATTGCTACTATGTACAGATAGAGGAAAAGCACAAATAAAAATGCATTAACAGAAAAGTCAGAATCAGAATTACTTTATTAATTCCTTGTGGGAAATTCTTTTCTTACTAGTGCAAACGTTTAGAGAGGAGAGAAAAATAAGATTGCAAAATGATGCGATGATGTCACAGTTTAGTATAGCTTTTATGATCTAGGTCTATCTTGAAGAATTTTGAATGAAGTCAAATTAGTTTTTAAATTAGGGGAGATTCTTAAATGTTTGATGTAAAACGAATTTACAAACAGGTAGATAAATCATCATATTGATAAAATCATATTTTAAAAACTGTTATTGGTATTCAGAAATCAATAACCATTTAGGTACTTGATTCTTAATTCTAAGTGATTATTCCTGTGGAAAAAGTTTAAGAAACACCAGGGTCCACCATAGGTGATGGCTGTCTTAAGATTTGTTTACACGAAGGAGCCAATGGGTAGCAGACATAAAGGGCTGGATCTATCAAAGGTTTGCGTGTATAAAAACGTGAGCTATTTCACTGCGCACGCTAAAAAATTTACAAACTGATCTATCAACAGCGTGCTAAAAGGATTTGGTCTTTACAACGTGCTAAATAGCGCCTCTTATCCATTTAGTACTTTTTCTGCAATGAATATGCAATATGGGGCGTTTACACGCAAAAGTGCGTCTTGTGGGAGGAGAATATGTAAATATATTAATTTAGCACTCGCAAAGTGATTTATCAAACCTGAAAGCAATTTTGCTAACGGTATCTGACTCTGGGCCGGATCTATCAAAGGTTTGCGTGTATAAAAACGTGAGCTATTTCACTGCGCACGCTAAAAAATGTACAAACTGATCTATCAACAGCGTGCTAAAAGGATTTGGTCTTTAAAATGTGCTAAATAGCGCCTCTTATCCATTTAGTACTTTTTCTGCTATGAATATGTAATATGGGGCGTTTACACGCAAAAGTGCGTCTTGTGGGAGGAGAACATGTAAATATATTAATTTAGCACTCGCAAAGTGATTTATCAAACCTGAACGCAATTTTGCTAACGGTATCTGACTCTATATTTAACACGTTTCAACAGAAGGTGCAAATGGTCTGTATGCGTAATTGCGCACACATGGCAGCGGTTATTGTCGCAAGAAGGAGACATCGAAATGAAGCAAGGAGACGCAGAGAACGCATTTTTTCACTCCGTGTGAATATTTTTGGAATGAACGAGGAAACGATCATCAAAACATATCGTTTATCTAGCATTGCCATTTTGGAGCTGTTGGAGGAACTCCGAATGGATTTGGAGCCAGCCACAAGGAGGACCCACGCAATACCAGATATCACAAAACTCCTTGCAACGTTGCACTTTTTTGCATCTGGGTCATTCCAGCGTACGGTTGCAGCGAGAGCTGGGATCTCCCAATCTCGTTTTTCAGAAGTGCTGTCCGACGGGGTCGGGGTTCTCCCCCTGCGCCTGTGGAGCAACATGCCAATGCTGCGGGGATGCGTAATCTCATCCACAGTCACTTCTCGTGAGCCATTTGGTATGTGTATTTTTCTACAGGCCAATACAAAACACCTTTTTTTGTTGTTTTTTTTTTTACTGCAGTGAAGTACAAATTCAGCCACATACCACCTTAGGGAATGAAGGTTGCCAAAGCTTTTTCTTTATATATATATATATATATATGTATATATATATATATATATATATATATATATATATATATATATATATATATATATATATATATATATATATATATATATATATATATATTTGTTGGGGGTCACTGTAAGATTTAAATTTCTTAATGCAGTAGTTTGTACAAACTACAAACTACTTTGCCGCAAACCACAAAACGCGCAAAACCATCATTCAAATAAGGCGTCTCCAACAGTTTTGCACCTGCCACCAGTTACGCAATCACTCTTGTTAAATCACCTGCAAACCATTGTTCAGGCCCTCGCGCAAAATTCCAGTTTGCGAGCGCAAATTACTGCACGCAAAATTGGATCTGGATAAATCCAGCCCAAAGAGACTTGGGTCGTGCTTTGGTGGGGCAGTGGTTAGCGCACCCGACCCATGTACGGACGCCTTAAAGGGAAACATCGTTTTTTTTACATTGGCCCCTTGATTTTACATTATTACATTATGTTCTACTCACCCATATTAGTTTTGTGTCATTTGGAGCTGTTAGGAAGCTATTAGGTTTTGTTATATCAAAGTTACATCTTCCTATGGGCAATGACTTGAAGGCACAAACTAAACTGTTCTTAATATTTTTATATCTATATTTCTTTAAAACAAAGCGGAGTGTGTATGACGTCATCCTCGCGCGAGCCGGCTACCGTTCATTCATCCTGTCCGCTGAACTGCTGCTAGTTTTACTAACATGCCTGGAAGATGTCTAGTGCTACAGATGATCTCTCTTTCGAAATGAAATTGAACGATTCAGATTAGCTAGCCGAACGAATAGAAGGGGTAGAGCGTAGCCGCCTGTGGCCGGGGCTGCCTGTCACAACTCCAGTCCGGCGTGCTTTTGACGTCATACACTAAAAAAATAAAACTTAGAAAAAATTATTAAAAAAAAAAAGACTTGAGGAGACTTATTTTGAGCCACTCTTCTGCCACTCTTCTGCCAGTTCAAATGTAATGATTGGATCAAAAATACTTAAACATTAACATCACATTAGTCTTTAAACCCCTTTTGAAATAAATTGTGTCATAACTTTATAAACCACATAAAAAAAGTTAGCATCTAAATAGATAGCATGTGGTCAGCATACGGTGACTAGTAGCTTATGCTGTTCGACACCATAAAAACACAGCCAACATGATAAACTGATAACCCCTCTTTTTACTCTCCATTTTTAGAAAGATAAGGATTTTCTGTGGTATGAAAACATTTTCCAGGTTGATAGCCTGGCAGGGATAGCTTTCCATGTCGTATAGGGAAAAACTAACCAGCTGTTTCAAGCTGGTTATCAGCTCTTTCTCCATCCTTCTGTAACTCTGCTTCATTTCATATACAAAAATATTTAGCATCACAATATTTCTTAAAGAGTGGCAAAAACAAAACAATATTTTGATGCATCAACACCAGCTTCTTATCAGCTTTAATAAGGGATATGATATTATTGTTCTTGTCCTCTTTTGTCTATTTTTATCATATCTTTCACACTAGGTGCTGGCCCTGCTTTTTAATCCCTTTCTGTGAGGAATCTTGCAAGGATGTGCATCACTTCTGTCCACGATGCAAAAATGTCCTGTACATCCACAAACTCATTTCCTAAATCTGGTGGTGATCCAAATATATGCTAAATCTTCCTAAAGGTAACACTTAAGTTCCCTGGCAATATTTTATCATATTGTTAAAATTTTACATTGTGTTGTTTTGCTTTAAAGGATGTTTCCTCATCAAACCAATCAAGACAAAGTCTCACTAAAATGCCTTTTCTCCACTAAATTTTAAGTGATGTACATAATTGTTGTGAAATTATAACCACTTTTGAATCAAATTGACTTAAGATGTATGGATTTGATTTTTGGATTGGGGGTATTTAAATGGGATTGGAAGGGGTTTTGTTTACAAGTGTTATTTTTCTTTTATAATCTAATAGTAAAATGTGTGATGAGTGTTTAAAACAATATTTGTGAATATAAAAATACAAGAAGATATAAAAAGCATTTTTAAAATTCTTAAATGTATTTCTTTTTACTTAATTAAGATTTTCATTGTACTTTAGTATTTTTTTTTAGCATGATTAAGATCTCCACTAAAACATTACACTGCCAAAAGTCTTTAAGACTGAATGAAGTTTGTTTAAAAAATAATACCTTCTGAATAACCTAAATAAATTCATTGTATTTCTTACAACTGTATTTGCATAGTGTTGCTGGGTCACCAAAACTCAAAGACCAATAAAAGCCCTTCCCTTTGCATTCAAGATGTCTTTTTTCCTCAGAATATTGCCTTGGAAGATTTTGTTTGAATGTTACTTTGTTTATGCAGTATCAGAGACCGCGTCACCGATTACAGGTGCTGGTCATAAAATTAGAATATCATGAAAAAATAGATTGATTTCAGTAATTCCATTTAAAAAGTGAAACTTGTATATTATATTCATACATTACATACAAACTCATATATTTCAGATGTTTATTTTGTTTAATTTTGATGATTACAAATGACAACAAATGAAAATCTCAAATTCATCATATCAGAAAATTAGAATATTACTAAAGACCAATAAAAACAAAGGATTTATAGAAATGTTGGCCAACTGAAAAGTATGAACATGAAAAGTATGAGCATGTACAGCACTCAGTATTTAGTTGGGCCTCCTTTGGCCTGTATTACTGCAGCAATGCGGCGTGGCATGGAGTCGATCAGTCTGTGGCACTGCTCAGGTGTTATGATAGCCCAGGTTGCTCTAATAGTGGCTTTTAGCTCTTCTGAATTGTTGGGTCTGGTGTATTGCATCTTCTTCTTCACAATACCCCATAGATTTTCTATGGGGTTAAGGTCAGGAGAGTTTGCTGGCCAATTAAGAACAGGGATACCATGGTCCTTCAACCAGGTACTGGTAGCTTTGGCACTGTGTGCAGGTGCCAAGTCCTGTTGGAAAATGAAATCTGCATCTCCAAAAAGTTGGTCAGCTGCAGGAAGCATGAAGTGCTCTAAAACTTCCTGGTATGTGGCTGCGTTGACCCTGGACCTCAGAAAACACAATGGACATGGCACCCCAAACCATCACTGACTGTGGAAACTTTACACTGGACTTCAAGCAACGTGGATGAAGTGCCTCTCTTCTTTTCCTCCAGACTCTGGGACCTTGATTTCCAAAGGAAATGCAAAATTTACTTTCATCAGAGAACATGACTTTGGACCACTCACCAGCAGTCCAGTCCTGTTTCTCTTTAGCCCAGGCAAGACGCTTCTGACGCTGTCTGTGGTTCAAGAGTGGCTTGACACAAGGAATGCGACAGCAGAAACCCATGTCTTTCATACGTCTGTGTGTGGTGGTTCTTGAAGCACTCACTCCAGCTGCAGTCCACTCTTTGTGAATCTCCCCCACATTTTTGAAGGGGTTTTGTTTCACAATCCTCTCCAGGGTGCGGTTATCTCTCTTGCTTGTACACTTTTTTCGACCACATCTTTTCCTTCCCTTCGCCTCTCTATTAATGTGCTTGGACACTGAGCTCTGTGAACAGCCAGCCTCTTTAGCGATGACCTTTTGTGTCTTGCCCTCCTTGTGCAAGGTGTCGATGGTCGTCTTTTGGACAACTGTCAAGTCAGCAGTCTTCCCCATGATTGTGTAGCCTATAGAACTAGACTGAAAGACCATTTAAAGGCTTTTGCAGGTGGTTTGAGTTAATTAGCTGATTAGAGTGTGGCACCAGGGGCCATCAATTTTGAACCTTTTCACAATATTCTAATTTTCTGATATGATGAATTTGAGATTTTCATTTGTTGTCATTTGTAATCATCAAAATTAAACAAAATAAACATCTGAAATATATGAGTTTGTATGTAATGTATGAATATAATATACAAGTTTCACTTTTTAAATGGAATTACTGAAATCAATCTACTTTTTCATGATATTCTAATTTTATGACCAGCACCTGTACATTAACTTCTGTGTAGACCAAACTGTGCTTATCAGAAAGATTTGTCACTTCTCTAGCAACAAACCATGGATCAACCCTGAGATAAAGGCACTTCTGAAGGAGAAGAGCAGATCCTTTAGACCATGGAACAAGGAGGAGCTGAGAGCTGTGCAGAAAGAAAATCAGGAATGGGAAGAGCAGCTTCAAGAAGATGATGGAGCATCAGCTGCAGCACAATAATATTAAGCCAGGCATACACTGTGCAATTTTTTAATCGTTGCACACAGCTACAGTTCACAGCTCATGATGCATGTGTAGCACGACGCTCTGATGTGATCTACCTACTCACACTGTATGTCTAAAAACCACATCAGACTAAGCTCCGCAGTGAGATAGAGCAATTCTGACTCATCTATCCGGAAGCCAAACAAAGCTCACTAGAGTGAAACCAACTACCTTGGCAACTTGTTCATTTTTGTGCTGAAAGCCCTAAAAAGAAAAGGCGATGACGTATTTGGACAAAGACATGGCTGAGCAAACATAGCTACTACAGTTTGTCATTTTTTTTCCCCTCCAAGCTCGGGTCCTCTACCAGAGGCCTGGGAGCTTGAGGGTTCTGCGCAGTATCTTTGCTGTTCCTAGAACTGCACTTTTCTAGACCGAGATGTCTAATGTATTTCCAGGGATCTGCTGTAACCACTGTGCAAGTTTGGGGGTCACTGCCTCGAGTGCCCCAAAGACCATGGGTATCACTGATGCCTTGATGTTTTCTCCAGCTCTTTTCTGAGCCCCTGGTATTTTTCTAGTTTCATAATATCCTTTTCCTGATGTTGCAGTAACTTGGTATTGCAATGTCATTTTCTACCATCTGTGGGGGTGTTTCCCACTTTGACATTGTGGTTTCCAGCCTATACTCTGCACAGCTGTTCCTGTACACTATTCCAGCCACTGGGTTATGGCGCACCATGTAAGCTTTTCCTGCTAGCATCTTACACATTGCAGTTATGTTGGGTAGGAATGGAGGAAGGGACATGGAGAGTCAGTGCTGAAAAGAGCTCGGTCAACTGCCTGGCGGCACTTTGACCTTATAGGCCCCAAGAAGAGGAGCAGATTAAAGCCAAACACATTGGAAATCATTCTTTTTTTTTTTTTAATAAAAATTGTTTAACAGAAAAAAGTGCACAACCTTCACTATTTTACAATCTAAGTAACACAAGCAACATCCCAATTGCAGAAGCACACACTCCTCCCACATTCTTGTTAACATTTTGTCAAAAACAGTCTAAAGTATAATTTAATAAGGGATACACAAGATTCCACTAACACAAAAAATGCATAACTCTGTTATGTAAACAGAAGGGATGTTAATCATATACAAATTTGACAATTCATGAATTAAAAAATATACATATATATCTTCTTTAATCATTATCAATACTGTTATTATATATGAAAAAGATTTCAGTAACAAATTATTGCAGTCACAATACCAGCTCAAATGTAGTTCTCATAGCTATCCAGCAGATGCCGCCACTCAAAAGTGTGTCAAATGTTTCAGCTTGTTTTTGATTTTTGGCCTGTTGTGTGAAATTAGTTCATTGGTTCATGGGGCTTCTAAATTGCCATCATCACTACTTGAAGATGAAGCAGTGCTAGTCCAGTAACGAATCCAGTAACTTCTTGGTATTTTGGAGGTTACTCAAAACAGTTGCTTGCCGGGGCATTCTCAGAACAGGGAACAAAAAAAAAAAAAAAAAAAAAAGCTGAGATCAGTAGGGACATGAAATAATACCAAGTGCTCAGAGAAGCTGAAAGTTACAGTGTGTGTAACACTCTGGCACAGAGTGTTTGGAGTCCTTCTTCTCTTATAAAGCTCAGGTAATGAGGCTGCACCTGTTGATCATCAGCCTCATTAAGCGTATATGCATCATACATTTTACAGTAAATGACCAATATTTACAGGGGTTGGACAATGAATCTGAAACACCTCTCATTTTAGTGTGGGAGGTTTCATCGCTTAATTGGACCAGCCTGGTGGCCAATCTTCATTAATTGCATATTGAACCAATAAGAGCAGAGTGTGAAGGTCCACTTAGCAGGGTAAGAGCACAGTTTTGCTCAAATTGTTGCAATGGACACAACATTATGGGTGACATACCAGACATCAAAAGAGGACAAATTGTTGGTGCACGTCTTGCTGGCGAATCTGTGACCAAGACAGCAAGTCTTTGTGATGTCCTTACTCTGAATTTTTAGATGAGTTTTCAGAGTTCCTTTCTGATTTGGTATTAAATACTGACAGGGTCATCATAGTGGAAGATTTTAACATCCATACTGACATTGAAGGTGATAGCTTAAGAGCAGCCTTTAATGCTATCTTAGACACTATTGGCTTTGTTCAAAATGTGAATAGTCCCACACATTCTCATCTTCATACTTTGGATCTTGTGCTGACATACGGCATAGAATGTGAAGAAATAACAGTATTTCCTCACAACCCTGTCCTCTCTGACCATTTTCTATTAACCTTCAGGATTACTTTAACAGAGTTCTCCTCCCCCAAAAGAAGGTTCAATTTTAGTAGATCTTTATCAGATAGTGCAGTTATACATTTTAAAGAGTCTGCTTCACTTTCTCTCTCCTGTGTCACTGAGCAGCGCTGCAGAGTGCAAAAGCATAGCTTATTCCCCTTCACAGGTTGATGATTTTGTTGAT